CAATTCTTCAGATTCAGCTATTTCTAAGAACTTCTGAGGTCACGTTACTGCACACATATACTACCAACCCTTGAGGTTTTTTTATATGCAAGTTCTGATGAAGCCATAGTAGAGAAACTACTTGCTTCTCCCAAAAACGACTCTTCCTCATCTTTAGACAATTAACAACAATCAATGAATTAAACTAACTCTTAACAAAATGTTAACTGTAAATATAACCAAACACTAAACTGGAATGCCAAGAGAACATTTAAGAACTTACAAGGAGTTCTTAAAAACAAGATAGCCACCCTCTGCAAGCAACTGAGGTGCTGACTTGACAGAAAGCAAGACCTCAGCTTGGCTGCAGGGGCAATGGCATGCCAGGACTCTATATAAAAAAAAAAAGGTAGCACTGTGCTAACATGTATACTCCTGATGTTAGACACTAATGATCAGCAAAACAAAGCCCTTTTTTTTGTAGGCAAAGAAGGGTGAGAAAATAGTTTCTATTCCTTTAAAATGCATAGAAACCCTGCTAAAAAGTCCTTGGGTTTTGTTAAACAGTTCACTGGCTTCCTTCTAAGATCTCAGAGCCAAGAAATACACAACAAATATTAGTTTTTCACTGAGAAACTTTATGTTTTCCTAGTGTTACAATTTAACATCAGTACTCATCTCACTTCACACAGACAATATTATTTTTTTCTTGCTTCCCTTTTTAAATTTCTTCCACTTCTACCCACTCCTCTAAAATTTAACTTTGGGATGTGTAGAAAATACATTGGGATTTATAGAAATGAAAGAAATAAATGTAACCCTGTATCCTCTCAGTGGAAGAAAAGTAAAGCAAAGAAACTTCTGGGGCTCACATTAACATCTACCCCTCACTTGAGGGAAGCAGATCCCCCAAAATCACAAAGTGATGACTGAGACTGCAGGGCTAAGAATTCTGAAAGGTAATTTCTTCCACTTCTACCCACTCCTCTAAAATTTAACTTTGGGATGTGTAGTAAATACATTGGGATTTATAGAAATGAAAGAAATAAATGTAACCCTGTATCCTCTCAGTGGAAGAAAAGTAAAGCAAAGAAACTTCTGGGGCTCACACTAACATCTACCCCTCACTTGAGGTAAGCAGATCCCCCAAAATCACAAAGTGATGACTGAGACTGCAGGGCTAAGAATTCTGAAAGGAAAGATCACAAAGACAGGAGATTATTTTTTAAATACCCACAGAAGACTCTGAAGGCAGGGAAGACTTGAATATTATCAGCAGTGTTCAAGAACAGAAAGGGGCACAATGAACAGAAAAAGTGATCAACAGCTTCACAGTGAACATGGCAAACATGACGGTCATCGTCTCACAGAGGCTCAGACTGGAAAGGGATGGGGAATTTTTTTTAAGAAAAGGTTAAATTCTGAAAAATCAAAAGTTTGATTTTGAGCCCTATCTACACTAAGAACATAATTTACACAGAGTTTTTAGAAAGAATGCTCTGTTGTTCTGATGGCATAGTAGACTTGCTAAAAACAAATCTCCCCTAGGAAATTTTCTTTTCTTTTTTTTGAAGTTTATTAGAGTACCACAACAAACCACAGACAAATGTATCTTGTTTTTACCGATAATTTGACAGTCTCCATGAGGTTATAGTGAATTAGCGAACAGACCAGCAGGCAGGAAACTTACTTAAATATGTAGTAGGTTCAAAATCATAACCACAGTACACTCACTAATGTAATCGCAACTTAGATTAATTTAGATTACTGATCACGTTTTCTCCAAGACATCATCTGGTTTAATATTTTGATTAAACTTACACAAAGAACAAGGAAAACATGCTAACCAAATGTGTGGATGTCATAGAAGTAGGGAGAAATAGGTAACAAGTACCAAATCATGACTCAATGGACAAAGAGCACAAAACCATTAGGATAAAAGGACATCTAATTAAACATCAAGGTTGCTCAAAAACAAATAAGTATCGAATTAGAGAAAAGGCTGGCCAATGAACAATTTTTATGAAAAAAAATTAACTAGAGACAAAGTTTTCTGTGAGCCAAAGGTACGATGATACTCTACGCAGAAAAGGCAGCATGAGGAATATTAAAACTGTTCGACAGGGGGAGATACTATCCTAACGGAGTTCTGAATCTGGATAATACACATAGAGTAAGCTGACAAAACAGGAGAGTGTCCAGAAGAGAAAAGACTCAGGAGCACAATCAGACAACATGAAGAGCTGTGAGGGACAGCGAAGGGGCAGATGACCGGACTTCCAGCACCAGCGTGGCTGCATAAGCTCATTCTCTCCCTTTCCTCCTGAAACCACCCCAAATCAACAAGAAGATAGAAAACAAAATCCTCACTTTCAGCAAAACAAACTAGGAGACAGACTCCAAAATAGTTGGAAGGACTTCCAGAAGACAAGCCAGTTCACACTGGAGCCTAGGAGGAGGAAGCAGAGAAACAAAGGAGAGAGACACCAGCAGCAGCAGAGTTCAAGAGCACCGCGGGGGCTGGGAGGGTATGTGCACAAGCACTTCTTAAAGATGAAGGACCTACAAAGGGCAGAAATTCCATCCATTCCCTGCAAAGAGGATGCGGGAGCAGGAATGTGTGGCAGAAGTCCCCAGACCCGGTGGGCCTAGATTTGTGGCAGCTGCAAAGAAAGGAACATCCGCTCTGTGTTTCCCCATAGCCTCGACTTTAGGACCATATTCTTGACAGTCAGCTGGTAGAAGGTTATTTCTTTTCAGTTTTAATTGTCATTTATCCTATGAGTGAGGCTGACCACCTTTACCTACTGTGTTCATAAAAAAAGGAATCTCTATTCCCCAAACAGTTCTGACAGAACTCGTAATGCCAATAAAGAGCTACAAATCATTTATGACTCAAATATTCTCAAAATACCTTTCTGGGACCTGGAGTGCAGACACGCTTAATTACCGAAGCTAATAAAAAGGAACTTGATCTCCAAGAATCCAAATCAGTGGATTCTATAAATGTGAACATTTTCCATTTCAGTACCTAGCTCCATCTTTCCTAATTAAGAAAAGAGGCACAAAGAGGTGACCCTGAGCTTGAACTTATACTGAACAGTCTGAAATTACAGGGCTAATTGAAACACGTAAAGTACAAAATTCTCGTTTTAGCAGAATCCCTAATTCATTGGCATTCATTTAGCTAACAAAACAAAATGACTAGAACTTTAGGTCTTCACCCTGAGCTACCCATCTCTTACCTGCACCTTGCAATCCTCACTGCCTACCACACACGGAGGTTGGACAACGGTGTTCATCTCACTACCAATGGCCTGAAAGCCATGTCTGTGGCCTGTGTTACAAATGAACCCTAATTGATCTGGTGCTTGGCAATTCAAGTTATAAACCACCACAGTAACCTGTGCCACCTGCTTAAGGAAAGTGCAGCCCAGGGCCAGAAAGCATGGTGGAGACACCACATTAAAAAACAACTAGAAACAGCCAGAGCCTCAAAACTTAAACACATTCTAATACAGCAAGTACAAATGGTCAATATGCAATTTGAATAAACCTTTGAACCTATTCAGAGTTCCTGTCATATTCGAAGAACATTGAGAAATGTCTTAAAAATGTTACAAAGGAGTTTGCAAATAAACTACAAAAAGAGTTAAACAGCCAACTTGCCCCTACAATAGGGAAAATATGTCCTACGTTTTCTTCTAAAAGCCATACTGAATATTTCCAGGCTCCTTAGTTAGGCAGGTACTGATTTCTAAACAAGGGGCAAATTATAAAAAGTTTTCAGAATCCAGACTACAAAATGAAACAATGACTCCATGTCAAAATGTAACGTTAAATGACTTGGGTACTGCATGTGTTATTTAAATAAACTCCACCACTGGGGTTCTTTTTCTGGAGGAGAAAGATAAAGGTGAAACAGTAAGTTGTATGAAATACATGGAAACAGATATCATTATGAATGAGAAAGTATACAGAAAAGGGAAGCCAAGAAAAAGAAAATCAAGAGATGCTTTTGACCCTCAAGTGAAATATAGGGAAATAATATATTTCTTTTTTTTTTTTCCTTTTTGTCTTTTTTACTGACCAAGATAAAGGTGAAACAGTAAGTTGTATGAAATACATGGAAACAGATATCATTATGAATGAGAAAGTAGTCAGAAAAGGGAAGCCAAGAAAAAGCAAATCAAGAGATGCTTTTGACCCTCAAGTGAAAAATAGGGAAATAATATATTTCTTTTTTTTTTTTTCCTTTTTGTCTTTTTTACTGACCGGCAAAGGGATCGCACCCCTCGGTGTTGCGCCCACACCGCGCTCAGCCAGTGAGCGGGTACCGGTCTCCACATGGGATCCGAACCCTCGGCGGGAGAGGCGGCGCATTCTCCAGTGCGCCACTGGGCCGGCCCGGGAAATAATATATTTCTATTAATTAAAAACGAAAAAGCTGTAGGTAACCACATTACCAATGTTAACAATATTAAAGAGCTAAATGAGCAGGTAGCACAAAATATACTTCCCCACCACAGGACATAATGAATCCCAGATTAAAAATATGCTTTCTGCATCCCTTGCTCTTAATTATACCTAAAGTTAAGGCATTTAGAGAAAATTGTTTTTCATCTAAAAATGTCTACAATTTCAGAAAAATATGTACACACAAACTGGGACCTAGAGGCTAAGAGTAGAAAAGCAATCAGGTCAAGCCTAAGCAAAGCCAACTCACAGCACAATGGAACAGACTTCTCACAACTGGTTGCTCTGCATCTAACACAGAGTGTTGATGAGTAACCGTGGGCAGGTCCTTAAAGTTTTTACACAGAAGGAAAACATTTCTAAGACCTCGTGGAATGTGAATGTGTGCTAGTCCAAAGCAAAAGCTCTCCAGAAGTCATTTGAATAGCTACGTCAGGGGACAGGTATTACCTCAGGAGACTACAGAGAATATTCCTTTGAGTGTCTGGCTACCAATGTGAATGCAGAAAGAGAAAAGACCAATGTGAACTTTTCCCATTTGCCACCTCTTCCAGCCGCCGCCTCTGTTCTTTCTGCTGCTCGATTCGTTTCTGCCTCTCCGCCAGCAGCTGCCTTTTATACTCTTCCTGCTCCCGGAGCTGTTGCTCCTGCAGCAGCTGTTGTCTCCGAAGAGCCTCAGAACGTTCCTTGTTCTCCTGCTGCAGCCTCAGGAAATCCCGACGAAGAGTAGACTCACCAGGCACATTAACAATGGAACTGTAGGAGGAAGCAGGACTTTCAGGGGTGTGCACAGATCACACTACCCTGAGATAGCAGCTACTGGCATCCTATTCTGTTCTATTGAGTTCCCCTGAATCCTGAGTTCTTCCACTCAGAGATTAACTAATATGTCCATAGAAGTGACTACAACCACAACTCAACAGTCCTGCATCTTCTTCTATTCATTTAATAAGTATCTTAAAATTCTGTCCTAGATGTTTGCTTGACACAACTTTCTACTTGGAATTCCCATACCAATTTAAACCTGTAAAATGAAAGGCTAAAATCACCTTCTTCCACACTTCACTAGTATCCCTTTAATCACCTTATTTTCCATCAGTAAAGTGAAATATAAAAAGCACTCTTCAGTACTTCCTTCATCTTCATCTGGTCACCCATCAAGTCTTGTTATGAATTCCCTCCCACTTTATTTCCAGGGTCAGCAGCTGAGCCCAGCTGGGTCCCATGAATTAGCCATTGCACAGATAAGTTAAACAGCATCATTCCTACCTGTTCTCCCTGCTGACAATAATTTCTCCACTTCCACACCACCCAGAATAACAGGCAAACAAATCCCCTTAAATTGCCTCTTCCATTATATCATGTCCTTATCCAAAAACAATGATATTGCTCATGGAATCAGTTCAAATTCCTCTAAAATTTTTAGTCTAAAATGGATTCAAATCTTCTACATAAGAAAAAGACATAATGGAATTTCTTCAATAAATTCTCTCATCTCTCTTCCAACTCCCTTTCTCTGACACATGGCTCCCCACAGGTCTCTCAGCATACCCTTTCCATCCTTCTTTTGTTCAGTTAATCAGGCGTGTGTATCTGCAGCATGAACAACAGCCAGGCAAGTACCTTACTAGAATCCAAAAATCCTCTATTCCTGATTAATCAGTTATTATGAGGTTCATGCTATCAATTTTAACTCCTCAACCTTCTGATTCCCTGAACCTTGGGAAGCCAGAGACAAAGCAAAACACAGATCATAAAATGGGTCAGGACAGAACAGAGGAAATCACATACTGGTAACCACATTTGTGGGAAGAGCAAAAACAAAACAAAAAATGTTTTGGAAAGACTGCAGGTTTTCCAGTGGAGGCCCTGCCAGCCCATGACCAGAACAATTCTCTGTGTGCAAGACTGTTCTACACACATACTGGTAACCACATTTGTGGGAAGAGCAAAAACAAAACAAAAAATGTTTTGGAAAGACTGCAGGTTTTTCAGTGGAGGCCCTGCCAGCCCATGACCAGAACAATTCTCTGTGTGCAAGACTGTTCTACACATCACAGGACCTTTCCCAACCGTGCCTCCTGGAATAATAAATGCCAGGGGTAACTTCCTCTTTCCAGCCCCAAACGCAGCCCCCACATTTCCAAGTGACTGGGGAGGCAAGATAATGCAATCTTTGGTAAAGAATGGTGGTGGTGGCAGCGAGGGGGTGGTAATAGGAATCTTTCAAAGAATAGAGAAGAATGGGAGACAGTAGGGCACTTTCAGAGTAATTTAAGATCCCTCCCTACTACACAGGAGTCTTCTGAAATCATGGCATCAACATGAAGCTTAATCTCTTCATGAAGCAGGATGGTGGAGAGTGGCTCTGCCGTTACCTTGGCTCTCCCTCCTGTTCAGGCACCTCCTCCTCCTCTTCCTCACTCCCACTGTACTCATATTCAGTTTCATCTGTGAAGAAAAGGACAAGATAAATGGGACAGTTCACAAATCCTGACATGTGCCTGTACACACAAGCATCTCCAAGGCCATGTTCTTTGTGAAAATAGCAACTTGTATGGAGAATCTGAGGGAGGACTTGAGCAGGAGTGAGACACCAAACTCCCACACTGAATGGCAGCAATTCCCTGGGTAGCCTCACTCCCCACAGGAGAGCACATTCTGATGCATTCAAGACAATCCCTCATGGGGACACACTGCTGAGGGGGCTGGACTGAGACAGGAGCCCCAGAGCCCTTGACACACAGGACAAGTGGCCCAAGAGTACCAGCAAATTCACCAAAGTTTACTGAGATGCCAAAATTCAAAAGAAACTAATGAAAACAACCAAGAGAACGTATTTGGTTACTTTCAGCACCTGGGGATATCCCCATTAAGACTGCAACAGAGAGAAAAGTCTGGTGGATAGAAAAATATGAAGCACTAAGTATGTACTTATAACAAAAAATAAAACAAAATGCTTCCACAAATTATAAAAGGTGAAATCAAGGAAAAAACAATGATCAATACAGCATAAATTAAACAAAAATTGCTCTACTTAAAGCCTAGTGTCAACATGAATAACTCATTTTCACTTTGACGGGCTTTATGCCATTTTCCCAAAAGTAGCAAGGCCAGTTTACTGGCCTCTTCACTCAATGGCAGCATCCGACTTTCAGTGAGCAATTTCACTCCAGAGAGCAATCAAAACCAGACAGGCTGAAGAGATTTAAAAAACAAAGTCTACTCACACACACACAAAAAAACATTTCTATATCTTTTCAGAAATATGTAAGAAAATCAGTTTCCTGGTAAGAAAAACGGGCCTGAGAACTTAAAATATGGTTCAGGACAAATTTGGCAGTCTACATGACATTAGTTCTTCTCTATGCTAGACAACCAAAGCTATGTAACTTTAACAGACATATAAATATATGCTAGCTTCCAAGAAAAATTCCAAATAAATAATCTTTGGAATCTTTAAATAGGTACTTTTATGTTTAAAATTTTACACTATAAACTACTAATTACTGACAAGAAGCTGAGATTATTTAGAAGGTGAATACAAAGAGAAAAAAAGGGGTCACTAGGACGTGAAGGTAAGAGATGAAGGTAAGGGCTCCACTGTTTCTACCTGCAAAATGTGGATGATGAGAAATGCATGAGATGATCAGGCTTCAGTACATGGTAAATGCCTGGCACACAGCAAATATTTCACGAACACAAGTTATTATTACTAAGTAAAGTAGGGGGAAAATGATCCATACACAAATAATCTTTTCCAAAAACAGGGCTGCCATGTCAACTGAGAGTTAATTTTTATTCAACCTTTGGTTTTCTTCATTACAACTACCTAGCTTGATGTACCAAGCTTAATTACTTTTATGACTGAATATATAAGAGGGAAAAAATTTATTTTGAACATCAATAATGACAATTATGAATACCAAAGTTGTGTAAGACTCAAATGAACACACAAAAAGCTCAGTATAGGTCTCCAGTATGAATCTGACCAACTCTTTTACTATCTTGAACTTGCTCTTTTTAGTTTCTTTGACCTTAAAATTTGAATTTTAAAAAAATTCATTAATGACATCCCAGTTATCCAAAAGTTGTTCTGTAAGTTACTGTTAAGAATCCACAAAATAGAAAGATCAATGTGAGCTAGTGGCCTCAGAGAAGGTGTTTTAGAGAAGATGGTGAAGAAGCTTGAACTGCACCTTGCCAGACAATAGGAAAACTGGGCAGAGGGTGTTCCAGGCAGGAGGGCACTGTGTGTGTAAGGATATAAAACTAATAAATTGGGGACAGAAAGGAATCTTCAGTAATTAGCACAAGAGCATGCTCGTGCTGTGCAGCAGTCAAGTTATGTGTTAACTAACCACACAATCTGCAGCAGAGGGAAGCATTAAGAAATCAGGGAGGCCGTGTTCTTGAGCCGAAGAACATGAGGAACACACTGAAGGTGATGCTCACAGCTGATGATCAATAAATCCTAAGGGAAGTATACGATAAACACAACCAGGATGAGGAAGGACAAGAAAAGCATCCCACCATGCTGACCTGCAGCATCAGCTCTCACTCCTGTTAATCTGAAATGATATAGGTCAGGAACTGGTTCCTATTTTTCAATGTTAGCAATACTCAAAACTAAGCATGGCACACCACAATAGGCATGGAATAAATTTTTGTTGAATGAATGAGTTATTCAGTCTTTAAAAATGTGAGTTAGAAAATTAATTCAGTTCTTTCCAATTATACTTCACTACTTTTAAGAATCACTTTTATTGTCTTGTATTTCCATTCAAACTTACTATTTTTTTCAATTCAACAAATATATGTATGTATTTGTTTATGTTGGTCTATATAAGAAATATACAGAGGAAATAAAGTGGAGGAAATTTAGGTGTACACAATAGCAGATGTATAACTAAACTTAGAGGAGAAAAAAAACAGAACTGCTACAGTAGGTTGGACATCAAGAAAAAGTAGGATATGTGATATTCCAAAGATGGGAGGGAGAGAGGAGACAGAATTCCAGAGCGAAGAAACATGGACAAAGGTAGAAAAATATTAGAGAATAATGAGTCCTTTTTCGAGGCTAGTATGAAAAATGCAAAAGAATAGAAAAATAGGTCAGGGTCAGCTCAGAGAAAGGCCTTCAAAGTCACCTGAAGAAGCTGTTACTTTATTCTGTAGTTAATGAGAGGCATGGAAGCGTCTACTCAGTATGGTGGAATGCTCTAACATGGAGATTCCTTAAACTCTGCTGCCCACAAGAATCATTTCGGGGATTTTATTAAAAATACAAATACCTTAGTCACTCCCCAAGACTAGAAACTTCGAGGTTGGAGCTCTGAACTAAATGATTGCAAAGGGATTCTCATGTACTATGTCCATAGACTAACTTTTGGAAAACAATCTACAACAAATTCTTTAAAATCAACAATCAAGGGCCGGCCCGGTGGCGCACTGGAGAGTGCACCGCTTGGGAGTGCGGCGGCGCTCCCGCTGAGGGTTTGGATCCCATGTGGAGACCGGTTCCCGCTCACTGGCTGAGCGCGGTGCGGGCGCGACACCGAGGGTTGCGATTCCGTTGCCGGTCCCCGGTAAGGGCGCGACACCGAGGGTTGTGATCCCGTTATCAGTCAGCAAAAAAAGACAAAAAGGAAAAAAAAAAAAATCAACAATCAAGTTCTGATGAAAGAGAGGTCACTCTTTTTTTTTTTTTCCTTTTTGTCTTTTTTCGTGTCTGGCAACGGATCGCAACCCTCAGTGTCGCGCCCGTACCGGACTAGGACCGGCAACAGGGTCGCAACCCTCGGTGTCGTGCCCGCACCTCGCTCAGCCAGTGAGCGGGAACCGGTCTGTATATGGGATCCGAACCCTCGGCGGGAGCGCCACCGCACTCCCAAGCGGCGCACTGTAGCAGTGCGCCACCGGGCCAGCCCGAGAGGTCACTCTTTTGAAAGCCACTTATTCAAAAACAGTAGTAGAAATTTACATCTGGTGGACAGAAAGACAGCAATCTCAAAGGAATAAGGATTTATGTCTGTGATCATCTCATCCCTTTAGAATACTTGACTAAACTGAGAACAGTAGTGTAAACAAGTTAAGTTTAAGAAAGTTTGGTGTAAGAAAAGAACACTGTAAGCATGTATTGCCGTCTACAACTGTCTCTTTATATCACTGTATGTTGCGCACATACTGGTTAACCCAAAATTGCAGTAATGGACAGAATAATCAGTGTGTCAGGTACCTGAGGATTAATTTCGCAATCCTTCCAGTACAGACTCCTTTCAATAAAAATGAACAGAAAAAAAACGGATAAACGAGTATTACTGAATTTTGCATGAGCTGAAAAAGAGCTACTCCAGCCCCACAGCTACTCCCGGGTGAGGTCCATATGCATTTGGGTGCCCAGAGTTGTGTCTTAATACAGGAGACCAACTGGGGCTAAAATCTTTGCAAATGTGAAGCAGTAAGAACCATACTGAAAACTGATAAATGGAATTAGACAACCTGTGTCATCTGGAGTCAAATGTGGTAAAAGATAGTAAAAAAAGAATGAGAAAAGTCCTTTAAGCAGAAGAAAGGTGGGGAAGGGTGAAATGTGTTGAGGGCAAGGACAGTGAGGAACAGGGAAATGTATGAAGAAAACTAGTGTGAAAACATGTGTGCACCTGTGTACCGCGAGGAAACTGCAAAACATCAGAAGATGTGCAACCAAAAAAAAGCAGACAGTAACAGCTGAGAGACAACATCCACAGAGATCTTTTGCATTATTTAACAAGGACAGTCAAAAACCTGATAGGAGACATTAATTGGGAAACTTGCAAGAATAGTTTCAAAAAGGAGGAAAAAACCATAGTAAGTGGGCATAAATAAGATAGCAAAGAGCCCAGGAAAACAGAAAGAACAGAAAAAGGAAGGAAGGTCCACATGCTTGAGGAGCCTAAGTGCAGACAAGAACTAATAGGAAAGAACCCAGAAAAAAGTTCGGAAGGGAACTAGTGGGCAAGATTCTCAGACAAAAACCAAAGCACTGCCCTCTCCCTTAAAGATTTTAAATTAACCCAAACAGCATGTTCCTACAATGTTGCAATTCTAATTCCTCAGGGGAAAAAGCTGTTTCTTCAAGGAAAAAACTCCTTCCTCAGATATCAGTGTTTTGCTTGACAAATGCATTAGAGTTACAAGGAGTAGAGAAGGTGGCCGCCCAAGGAGAGAGGACCACTGTGTTAATGTGCTCTTCTGGAATGAAAAAGGGTATGTCTCAATTTAGTGTTTTGATTTTCTTTTAAATATTTACAATAAATGCTTCCATTAATTTTAAAATTCTATTTATATTAATTTTAAAATTCTATTTTAACAGAGTTCTGCTTTTTTTTTTTTTTTTTAGAAGTTCATTACACTTAAAAGTATGTTTAAATATTAAAATGGAACATTTTTCTTTAACCAAGTTATGGTATTTCATATGGTCACTATGACAATATTGTAATTCAAAGAATCTATCAAGAAAAATAAATTCATTAAAAAAATTTTAAAAATCATTGCACTTTTTAACTGTTGTTTTGGGGTGCTGGCTCTTGTTCTCTGAAATTAGAACGGCCAGAATTTTGTATCAGAGAAAAAGTAAAACTTAAAAAAAAAAAAAAAAAAAAAAAAAAAAAAAAAAAAAAAAAAAAAACAACAAAAAACCATACATAGCTTACCATTTTTTTGACTTCAGCCGGGGAGGAGGGTTTCTGGGAATGAGAAACAGTGCTCTCATTGGATGCATGTCACAGAGAGCTGGGGAGAGGAGATGGTCGTTGTCAGTACAGCACTTGCTTTTACTTATTCTTGATGTCTAGGGCTCACTCATAAATAACATCAAACGCTTTGTCCCATCATCTGACTGTTATGTTTCACATCAAGCAGTCTAGACAACTAGTTATGAACTCTAGGGCATACCTTGAAATTCCCATTTAAAAATAGCAAAATATAAGGAGGACAAGGGCAGCAAGAAGAACATACAATTTCAAATCGACATTGAAAAGCTTTCACAAATCAAAGATAAATATTAATTCAAAGGCTTAAACAAATTTTTGAACCATCTGTAAGATTACAATGAAAATTACTGTATTTTCATAAGGTTGTTGTAAGGATTAACTAAGACATGGCTTGTAAAGGCCTTCACAGAATGCCTGGAACAGAGATTTTCATGGTGCCCCCCAGAAAAGTTAACTATTCATTCTTACAGCTAGTATTACTATGAAAGAGCAAAAATGGAAGTGTAAAACGGAATTGTTTGATTCTGTGCAATTACTGTTTATACTCCTGTCACTGGCTCCAATAAAGTCATATTAGGCTCACATGTATGCATTAACATGTCAACACAGGCAATGTGCACTTTCATGTGTTTGCCTTCAAGAGAATCATACAAGGCAGCTGTGAAATGTACCCCACCCCTGATCAAAAATCAATTTTATAAAGTTCTAATAGATGTAATCCAAAGAATAAATAAACACTCATAAAATTTCACAGGGAATAAAAAAAAATTATTCTATAGATAATTCTATAGATAACAAGTTATGCCTCCATTTGTAAAATCAAAGCTTAAATAATACCAAAATGCCACATTAGGACCATGGCATTTTGGTATTCACTACATTCATTTAGTTTCACTGAATATTAAGCTGGATATGTAAAAAGGAAGATTACCACTTATTTTCTGATACTGGCATAATTTCTAGCCACACATGTGAATACAACTTAAATAAAAGAAAATGTAGCCTACAGACCTACAGAAATTTCCAAAAGGAATAATGCTTGCCAAGAACTTCTTTTACTCTAATACTTCACTGTATTTATGATTCCTTCATCTAAATGCCCCACCAGGAATGGCTGTTCTTTTTGAAGCCATGAGCCTGGTTTAAGTTACATATAAAAACTGGGCTAAAAAGGAAAGACAGTTACTTACGGGGGGCTCCTTCTGCCATCTCAATGGCTGTAATGCCACAAGACCAAAGGTCACTCTACAAAAATAAAACAGTATGTTATAAATATCATATTAGCTACGAAGCCACTAATTTACATTTCTGGATATTCACACAAATGAAATAAAGGCTTTCTTTGGTGTATAAACTGAAGGGAAGTTTGCCAGCAAATTAAAAACACAAACATACTTGTAGAAACACCTAATGAATGAATGACTGATTGAATGTATGAATAAATAAATGATAAAGATAAAATTGATTTGTTAATTAAAATGACTCACATCTACAAATGCACTACACAGGGTCAGTGAATGGTCTACTGCCCAGTATACTTCATTTCTTTACAAGCATTCAATAGTTTAGACTCCTGGCCTATATTTATGTTTATTTATTTATTTATTTATTTATTTGGTCTTTTTCATGACCGGTAAGGGGATCGCAACCCTTGGTGTGGTGTCGCCCACACTGCGCTCAGCCAGTGAGCGCAAAGGCCATTCCTATATAGGATCCAAACCCGCGGCGGGAGCGTCACTGCGCTCACAGCGCCACACTCTCCCGAGTGCACCACAGGGCCGGCCCTATTTATGTTTATTTTTACATTTACTATTAATACCTCAAACTTAATTAAGTTTGTAAAAGTTTAAAGGCCAGAAAGCATTCTTTATAAAATGTCCACAACTATCCCACAGATCACTAGTCTGAACTATATTGCTGAGTATCTCCACTACACCTTCAAACCAAACAAGGGGTGAGCTACAAGTAGACTGCATTTTTGTACATAGAATCTTCTACTTCTGATTCCCCTGAAATATTAACTATAAAATTTAATTTAAACTTTATTCTCCACTCAAATATAAATTCCATGACGGCAGGCATTCTTGTCTGTTTTACTAGCTTTTGTATCTGGTAGACAAAAATCTTAGCCAGTATTTTTTTAAATCCCCCAAAATTTTAAAATAGCAGATAATGGACAGTAATTGTCATTAGAGTATTTTTGTTTATATGTTATCATAACCAAGGAATTACTTAAAGTTGCTCAGTTTAAGGATTTTCTAAATAATCTATAATCATGTTACAAAGTTCAAATACATGTTTGAATACAAGAATAAGGACAGACCTACAAATTCCTCCCTTATTTATCTGAAATTTTCTATACTATAGAAGTGCAAAGGGGTTTTTTACCACCTTAATCCAGTGACCCAACTTGGCAGTGTCAGTGGTAGCATAAGCAGGGCTGCATGGCCCCTGGTTTAAGGCAACACAAGACACCCCCATTTCCTATGAGGGGATCTTGCTGAGAAGGTTTCCCTTAATACTAATTGGACCTTTCCAGTTCACAGGAAACAAGCTAAATGACATTGCAGAGAAGTACTCAGACAAATGTACAGGGTAGAACATTTTACAACAGGCCCAGCCTCTTCAAGCAAGTCAGTTTCATGGGAAACAAAAGGGGGGATAGGGGAGTGGGAGGTTCTAGATTAAAAGAGACTGAGTGACCAAATAACCAAATACATTGTTTTGTCCTCTATGGGATATTAGCTTAAACAAAACAGCAGGGTCTAATCACGAACTTTGTATTAAGGAAATATTCTTTTCTATTTAGGTATGACAGTATTTTGAGTGTGTTGGAAAATGTTTTCAAATTTTAGAGATATGTAATGCTATATTAAAGAATGGAAAGTCACAAAGTGTGTAATCTATTTTTAAATACTTCATCATATAAAAATAAAAAATAAAAATTCCTCTGCACTACAGGCTTAAATTAAGCTTCATTAATTGGGGATTTGTAATAAATACATTGGGAGACTGTTAAGACATGAATTCAATTCTGAATATCATTAACAGGTACACTAACCACTCTGGTTCATTTAATTAAGGCAAGGGTTTATTTATTTTTTTAAACAGTTCTTATAAACATAGTCAACCTGAGTCTGATTATCAAATATGGGTTTTACATCTGGATCATAAAAGTGCATTACTGATTCAAGTCCCTAGAGGTCACTCTAATAATTTAAATATATTTGTGTACAGAATCAAAGCAGTAAAGCTCTTGAACAAGAACACTCAAAAACTCCACGTAGATGGAGCTACTACTATATGTTCTGACAATATTTTTAAAAGAACAAATATTTGATTCTAATATATTCTTCAAGTTAAAAAGGACAGCAAACAGAGGCAAAAGCATTTTACTCATGATGAAAAGTTCCATGCACAACAAAGTGGCCCAGACTGCCCTGAAACCAGCATATTCTTTAGAGATGAGAACAAAGTTGATAAACACAGACAAAAAAGATGGCATCTAAACACTGTCCTGAAAAGTTTGCACCCACAACGGGGTGCCCATGTCTTCCTCACTGAAAAAGTAGGTATGGATAAGGAGTGTGCAATTTGTAAAAAGCCCACATCCCTCGGATGTCAGTGTCCCAGCAAAGGCCCACCAGCAGGTGCCTCTTACTCTGTAGTCATAGGTGGCATCTGGGTTCTCGTCACAGGCAATGACCTCAGGAGCCATCCAGTAGGGGGTGCCTATGAATGTATTTCTCCGCCCAACTGTCCTGTCCAGCTGAGCACTCACACCAAAATCAACTGCAGGAGAAAGAGAAAGAAAAGTGGAACGCAATTAATTAACAAACCAGATATAATAGAAAAAAATGTGAGGAGCTGTCTTCATAGTAAATTGAACAGCAGTGCTTTGTGACCATGTGATCTTCCTTGAGGCAGGCAACACAGGAAAGGAGTGCCCCTTCCAGAGCAAAGCCACCAAGACTGCAAAACCNAATTCCCATTTAAAAATAGCAAAATATAAGGAGGACAAGGGCAGCAAGAAGAACATACAATTTCAAATCGACATTGAAAAGCTTTCACAAATCAAAGATAAATATTAATTCAAAGGCTTAAACAAATTTTTGAACCATCTGTAAGATTACAATGAAAATTACTGTATTTTCATAAGGTTGTTGTAAGGATTAACTAAGACATGGCTTGTAAAGGCCTTCACAGAATGCCTGGAACAGAGATTTTCATGGTGCCCCCCAGAAAAGTTAACTATTCATTCTTACAGCTAGTATTACTATGAAAGAGCAAAAATGGAAGTGTAAAACGGAATTCTGTGCAATTACTGTTTATACTCCTGTCACTGCATGTCACTGCAATTACTGTTTATACTCCTGTCACTGGCTCCAATAAAGTCATATTAGGCTCACATGTATGCATTAACATGTCAACACAGGCAATGTGCACTTTCATGTGTTTGCCTTCAAGAGAATCATACAAGGCAGCTGTGAAATGGGAGGTGAAGAAGCAGACAATACTATTCCCATTGTGAAAGAAAACTGATACAAAGGACCAAGCAATACTTCCCTGTCTCAGTTCCTTAGAGAAACATGAGGGACCATACGTATTTAAGGCAGACATCTATTTCTGTATTGTAAACTAATATTTAGCTGCCAATAAATTTTTTTCATTCATTCAACAATTATTTATTCAGCAGTAACTATGTACCAGGGACTTACACATTCTTTGTGCATACCTTTTTTTTTTTAAAAAGGTGACCCAGCAGAAATGCTGTTTTTTTCTGTGTTCTTTGCAATTCTACCCCACCCCTGATCAAAAATCAATTTTATAAAGTTCTAATAGATGTAATCCAAAGAATAAATAAACACTCATAAAATTTCACAGGGAATAAAAAAAAATTATTCTATAGATAATTCTATAGATAACAAGTTATGCCTCCATTTGTAAAATCAAAGCTTAAATAATACCAAAATGCCACATTAGGACCATGGCATTTTGGTATTCACTACATTCATTTAGTTTCACTGAATATTAAGCTGGATATGTAAAAAGGAAGATTACCACTTATTTTCTGATACTGGCATAATTTCTAGCCACACATGTGAATACAACTTAAATAAAAGAAAATGTAGCCTACAGACCTACAGAAATTTCCAAAAGGAATAATGCTTGCCAAGAACTTCTTTTACTCTAATACTTCACTGTATTTATGATTCCTTCATCTAAATGCCCCACCAGGAATGGCTGTTCTTTTTGAAGCCATGAGCCTGGTTTAAGTTACATATAAAAACTGGGCTAAAAAGGAAAGACAGTTACTTACGGGGGGCTCCTTCTGCCATCTCAATGGCTGTAATGCCACAAGACCAAAGGTCACTCTACAAAAATAAAACAGTATGTTATAAATATCATATTAGCTACGAAGCCACTAATTTACATTTCTGGATATTCACACAAATGAAATAAAGGCTTTCTTTGGTGTATAAACTGAAGGGAAGTTTGCCAGCAAATTAAAAACACAAACATACTTGTAGAAACACCTAATGAATGAATGACTGATTGAATGTATGAATAAATAAATGATAAAGATAAAATTGATTTGTTAATTAAAATGACTCACATCTACAAATGCACTACACAGGGTCAGTGAATGGTCTACTGCCCAGTATACTTCATTTCTTTACAAGCATTCAATAGTTTAGACTCCTGGCCTATATTTATGTTTATTTATTTATTTATTTATTTATTTGGTCTTTTTCATGACCGGTAAGGGGATCGCAACCCTTGGTGTGGTGTCGCCCACACTGCGCTCAGCCAGTGAGCGCAAAGGCCATTCCTATATAGGATCCAAACCCGCGGCGGGAGCGTCACTGCGCTCACAGCGCCACACTCTCCCGAGTGCACCACAGGGCCGGCCCTATTTATGTTTATTTTTACATTTACTATTAATACCTCAAACTTAATTAAGTTTGTAAAAGTTTAAAGGCCAGAAAGCATTCTTTATAAAATGTCCACAACTATCCCACAGATCACTAGTCTGAACTATATTGCTGAGTATCTCCACTACACCTTCAAACCAAACAAGGGGTGAGCTACAAGTAGACTGCATTTTTGTACATAGAATCTTCTACTTCTGATTCCCCTGAAATATTAACTATAAAATTTAATTTAAACTTTATTCTCCACTCAAATATAAATTCCATGACGGCAGGCATTCTTGTCTGTTTTACTAGCTTTTGTATCTGGTAGACAAAAATCTTAGCCAGTATTTTTTTAAATCCCCCAAAATTTTAAAATAGCAGATAATGGACAGTAATTGTCATTAGAGTATTTTTGTTTATATGTTATCATAACCAAGGAATTACTTAAAGTTGCTCAGTTTAAGGATTTTCTAAATAATCTATAATCATGTTACAAAGTTCAAATACATGTTTGAATACAAGAATAAGGACAGACCTACAAATTCCTCCCTTATTTATCTGAAATTTTCTATACTATAGAAGTGCAAAGGGGTTTTTTACCACCTTAATCCAGTGACCCAACTTGGCAGTGTCAGTGGTAGCATAAGCAGGGCTGCATGGCCCCTGGTTTAAGGCAACACAAGACACCCCCATTTCCTATGAGGGGATCTTGCTGAGAAGGTTTCCCTTAATACTAATTGGACCTTTCCAGTTCACAGGAAACAAGCTAAATGACATTGCAGAGAAGTACTCAGACAAATGTACAGGGTAGAACATTTTACAACAGGCCCAGCCTCTTCAAGCAAGTCAGTTTCATGGGAAACAAAAGGGGGGATAGGGGAGTGGGAGGTTCTAGATTAAAAGAGACTGAGTGACCAAATAACCAAATACATTGTTTTGTCCTCTATGGGATATTAGCTTAAACAAAACAGCAGGGTCTAATCACGAACTTTGTATTAAGGAAATATTCTTTTCTATTTAGGTATGACAGTATTTTGAGTGTGTTGGAAAATGTTTTCAAATTTTAGAGATATGTAATGCTATATTAAAGAATGGAAAGTCACAAAGTGTGTAATCTATTTTTAAATACTTCATCATATAAAAATAAAAAATAAAAATTCCTCTGCACTACAGGCTTAAATTAAGCTTCATTAATTGGGGATTTGTAATAAATACATTGGGAGACTGTTAAGACATGAATTCAATTCTGAATATCATTAACAGGTACACTAACCACTCTGGTTCATTTAATTAAGGCAAGGGTTTATTTATTTTTTTAAACAGTTCTTATAAACATAGTCAACCTGAGTCTGATTATCAAATATGGGTTTTACATCTGGATCATAAAAGTGCATTACTGATTCAAGTCCCTAGAGGTCACTCTAATAATTTAAATATATTTGTGTACAGAATCAAAGCAGTAAAGCTCTTGAACAAGAACACTCAAAAACTCCACGTAGATGGAGCTACTACTATATGTTCTGACAATATTTTTAAAAGAACAAATATTTGATTCTAATATATTCTTCAAGTTAAAAAGGACAGCAAACAGAGGCAAAAGCATTTTACTCATGATGAAAAGTTCCATGCACAACAAAGTGGCCCAGACTGCCCTGAAACCAGCATATTCTTTAGAGATGAGAACAAAGTTGATAAACACAGACAAAAAAGATGGCATCTAAACACTGTCCTGAAAAGTTTGCACCCACAACGGGGTGCCCATGTCTTCCTCACTGAAAAAGTAGGTATGGATAAGGAGTGTGCAATTTGTAAAAAGCCCACATCCCTCGGATGTCAGTGTCCCAGCAAAGGCCCACCAGCAGGTGCCTCTTACTCTGTAGTCATAGGTGGCATCTGGGTTCTCGTCACAGGCAATGACCTCAGGAGCCATCCAGTAGGGGGTGCCTATGAATGTATTTCTCCGCCCAACTGTCCTGTCCAGCTGAGCACTCACACCAAAATCAACTGCAGGAGAAAGAGAAAGAAAAGTGGAACGCAATTAATTAACAAACCAGATATAATAGAAAAAAATGTGAGGAGCTGTCTTCATAGTAAATTGAACAGCAGTGCTTTGTGACCATGTGATCTTCCTTGAGGCAGGCAACACAGGAAAGGAGTGCCCCTTCCAGAGCAAAGCCACCAAGACTGCAAAACCCTCTACCAGTCTGGAAACTCCTAGAAGGCCTGGACCCAGCCACCTCCTTGAGCTCCCCAAACAGTGACCAGCAGAGGGCCTTTTGAATGAATGGAAATCTTCAATGCTCTCAGAGAACACACCTGCCACAAACAAGATCAAGTCTTAGAAAGCCCATAGTTCAGGAGAACTAACTGAGACCCACTGGACTTAGCTACTTAAGCAGCCTAATAACCATATAAAGAAACCATACAAAGATTTTCTTGGAAAGAACATGGTACTACATTAAATAAACAGAATCATGCTAAATTGCAAATACAAAAAAAACACCCCCAGAAGCAATTGGAAATTCTGCCTATTTTTCAGAACTTCCACATCCCACCCAATTTAATGATGGTAGTGGTCTTGAGGAAAGTTCAAGGATGGGCAGCAGAGTTGGCAGGATGCCCACGATCTCTAATGTAATGTTTGCCCATTCAGTACCTGGCAACATACCTGCCAACATCAGCACTGCACACACTGGCATTATCCCAGCAGGAAAGTAGAAAGGTGGAAGAGGTCAGGCAAAAGGACTCGTGAAGTGCTGAGATGATTCACAGGGGTCACAGACTCTGTTTCTGTGCACAGAACATGTGCAGGACACAACCTGCCGGGGGTGGGCTCACTGAATGGTCCTCTTGAGACAGAGACTCGCGGGCCATACAGTCTTCACAGAAAGCCTAAGCAAGCTTCCCAGCAACATGGACGGCAAAAGCAACCAATCACTAAGTGATGACTGAGGGACCATCACAGGCCCAGCACCATAAGGTCAGTGTAGGGAACACACTGAGTCGTTAGGTATGAGAACAACTTTAGTGCTTCCTATCTTAGCTTTGAGGGGAGTTTCCAATGGGGCAGACCATTCCTCTACAAATGACCAATAAATGCAGACACTATGTAAGAAGGCAATGATGAAGATTTTATTTTTAAAGTACAACTACTGTACCTAAGATTTTTGAAAGAAAAGTGGACCAGATACCTTTAAAAACAAGTATAAAGAAATATTTTGCGTGACCACTTAGTAGAAAAAAAAAAAAAGGCTAATTCTGTTCAAAATTTTGACAGAATCATTACATGAAAGTGGAATGGGAACAAAACTCAGCTAAGGGAAATGGGAAATTCAAAAGAACCATCATGAAATCATTTATGGGAAGATACTATAGGCAGCAATGACCTACCCATGCAGAAATTTATCAAGCACCTACTGAACTGAAGGCACTACACTAGGTGCTAGATAATAATCTTGGTCAGTGCACTCCTAGAAGTTACATTCTGTTAAAGGAGACAGAAATCCAAGTCAATAAATAACCATATAATTATAAATTGTGAACAATTCTATGTAAGAAACAAGCAGGGGGGCCCAAGACAGATCAGAGAGTCAGAGAAGGCCCCTGAAAATGAGGAAAAATTGTGACTTTAAAACTGAGGCCAAGTGTTCCCAATGGAGAACAGTACATACAAAGGCCCTGAGTCAAGTTCCAAGAAGTTTTTTAAAAAAAAAAAAGACAGGAAAAAGAAATGAAGAGGGTCACAAAATGAGGTAGGAAAATAACAGGGGCCAGATCCTATGTGGCTTTTTATGGGCCATGGTAAGAACTTTGGATTTTATCCAAAGTAAAATAAAAAGCCACTAAGAGTGGTTAAGCAGGAAAGTGACATGTCTGACTTTTAAAATCAGTCTGGCGGCTATATAGAGAATAGAGCAGAGAGAAGCACGGGAGAAGGGAAGTTGGAGCCAGGCTAAGCAATTAGCCCAGTTCCCACATTCCTACGTGGAGCAGAAACAGAAAACATGGGTAAGAGACTGAGTTAAGTGTAAAGGGTGCAGGGATTGTCAACAGTCTGTGCCAGGGCAAGTATGAGATCATGCTGCACGTCTGTCACATACCAAGTTTCACCTCTGCATTCTCGGTCAGCAGTACATTCTGGCCCTTGATATCCCGGTGAATCACATGATGAATGTGAAGATGTGCCAGTCCCTGAATAGGAAAGACAGATCTAAACATTAGTTCTTTGTTGCCATAAGAGTAAACAGCCAGGAACGCACCGTTTATAACAGAGTTCATACACGGGCCAAAAGTTTTTGTGAATTCATATTTAGAACATAAAATTTACTCTTAGTGCATTCCCAGCGAGACATCACCCATATTAACCACGCACAATGAAAGAAGCCCCACCCCACCCCAACTCCCCACCATTCCCCATGTGAGCAACATTACCACTTTCTAGCTGTGCCTTATGACACTTTAGATTACCATCTGCAGTTTTTCTGCTATAATTTGTGCTATTTCTGTACAGCATGGTTCCTTTCCCACGCTAAACATCTATCTTTCAGTGGGTGACCCCGTGGGTATATTTGAACTAGACACATCCCAGGAGAAAAGCAAAGGACTAGAGAGGGGTTTAAAATCTGGCTCTCCAACACTGGCTAGTCTTCCCACTGCATAGCGAGAAACTGCTTAGTGCTGATCAATCCCACCTCCACTGTAGCGTAAAATGATTCCACTGTCAAAAGAGTCTTGTGTTCAAATAAAATATCTTTCTTTCCCAAGTAAACAAACCCTATTGGCCTATCGCACATTTTGATGACCTTCTATCTGGAGTGAAGCCCAAGAGCCTGTCTCTTCTGAGAGGTGGTGGAAGAACAAAAACACATGTTGCATCCAAATATGGTCCAAAAGACAGCAATTCATCACATTCACAACTCATTTACTTCTTCTATTCTTAGCTTGAGAAGCCAAATCTATAGCGTGCCTCCTTAAGACACAGCAACCTGCTTACTCTGAAATGTCTCAATCCAAAAAGAGCAGATTAGAAGGAAGGGTTTATTTGATTTTCCTGTTTAACTTTTCTTGTGGAGTTTTACTGTTGTTATCATTACTTTGTAGGATATGAATTAAATACAGTAGCTGGTCTACAACACTAATTTTTCTAACACAGGGGGTTTCTGATATTCATTTACTAGTCTGCCTGTAAAAGAGTAGAGCTTAGGGCCGGCCCGGTGGCGCACTGCTACAGTGCGCCACTTGAGAGCGCGGCGGCGCTCAGGGTTCGGATCCCACATACAGACCGGTTCCCGCTCACTGGCTGAGCGAGGTGCGGGCGCAACACCGAGGGTTGCGATCCCGTTGCCGGTCCCGGTCCGGTACGGGCGCGACACTGAGGGTTGCGATCCGTTGCCGGACACGAAAAAAGACAAAAAAAAAAAAAAAGAGTAGAGCTTATTGGATGGCTATTTTTCACAACATGGGACATGCAGTGTTATACCACAAAGCACTGACCAGGGGGAAAGCACTAAAAACACATGGTGCTGCAGTTAGGAAGTGCTACAGTTGAGAAGAAGGTCCTTCCTTTCAGCATGGTGTAAGTTCAAACAGCAAAAGAAAAGACAAAACAATGTAGCTTCCCTAATTCTTTTGTTATTCCTACTTCTATTACTTCAGTTCATTTTTGTTCTCTAACTTGCACAAACCTTCTTACACTTTTACAGGATTATCTGAGCAACAAACATGAGCACCCACATCTTCTCAAATGTGGCCCACATGCAGTGTTGCTCATTACCAGTAGTAAATGTATGAAACAATGCCAAATTCCCTGTCCATACTTCTAAAGGATCACTACAGAAACCCTTTTAAGTGTGTCTAACAGCTCTGTAACAATGTTAACTCGAGTTATGATTATTCTAAAAGGTGAATAAGTTTTCCTGTAAGAAGTACCTGGTAGGTAGTGTGTGTGCTCGACTACTACCATGCCAGAAGTTAGGACACAATTATGCCTCCTTAGCAGAAATGTCAAGTCCAAATACTCAGTAAATACCCCATCCTAGGACAAATGAATCAATGCTAAAAAAACTCTTAACTTTTTCCTGGAACTCTATTTCATTTGTAGACATAGAACAAAGGAGCAGTCAAGACTGTCTCCCAGTATTGGTTATGGCAAACTGTAAGTTCCCATATTCAATATGAAATGCTGGCTTCTACCACAACGAGAAAACTGCTGTGTAGAATGTGAACAGGGAAGTGTGCTGGAAGGAACACGCTGGCTTTGCTGGTAAACCTTTTGGTCCAGAGGGTTTCAGTGTCCTGGCCCAAGACAGCATTTCTACTGTTCTGAGGCCTACGTGCTCACAACCCTCACCCTTTTGAGAATCTTAACATAGTGTCTAAATCTAACATCTACTGAGAACTGAGCAAAGGTTTCGCTGCTACAGAAAGAGCCTCCCACAACTGTGTTTTTGATGCCCCAGGAAATCTTCATGGGGGCGGCTGCCTTCCCTTCCTGTGAGACCTCACTTCCATCTTACCATCTTGCTTTCCCTTTACCAAAACCGACTCTTAGTAACTCCAATAATAAACACACACGAGTGAAAAATGCTTAACTCTCTCTGAGGCATTTGTTTGTTTTTAGTTAATTTAAACTTTAATCATAGGAAAAACTCCCATTTTACATGAAAAGTAGGTGAAGGTTCAGATGCCACTGAGGTGGAAAAGATTTGCTGCATCTCAAAAAGATGTCCATTCACCTACCATACTCAAGTTGACTCAGGGCCTCAAACAACCCAGACTTCTTTTAAATCTTGCCCAACATGAATGGCAGCAAAATGTTTAAATATACATATTGCATATGATATTAATAACAAGGTAATAATGCTTGCCTGGGTATACAAAAGCATGTAAATTGTCTTTGATGCCTTTAAAGGCCAAAATCCATTTGATATCTAGGACACTATGCTAAAAAGCTAGTTCTCTGCATGAGAAATCATATACTGAAATTATATACAAGAAAAGCTTGTGTGTGTGTGTGTGTGTTAAAACAGAATAATGACAACTAACAGTTACTGAGAGCTAGCTATGTAGTCACGTTACATTAAATGATTCATGTACACTAAACTCATTTAATTCTTCTGATAACAGTAATTTCACAGGACTGGTATCTAAAATGTAGAGTTGAGAAAAATAAGTCCTAAGAAAAAGTTAAACACTACAGAGTGGGCAGCAGGTAAATGGCAGAGGCAGGACTCACACCTAAGTCTGGCTTAATAAAGTGCCGAACCTCTTAACCATTGTTCTATCCTGCCTACCAGGCTGTTTTAGTTATTAACATGATAAATACATGTGCTCATTTACTGAATACTTCCTTTATAGTAATACAGGGCAGGATGCTTAGTTTCCCACTTTTAGGCTCTGCTTCCTATAATAACCAAAAAAGATGAGACCCTGATATTTTAATAATGATGCTTGCGTGTGATTATAAAAAGATGTTCTCCCACCACCCTACACTCCACCTCACAACTAGTCTTTTAAAGGGAAGTGACTCTTTGGGCTGGCCTGGTGGCGCACTGGAGAGTACACCGCTTGGGAGCGCGGTAGCGCTCCCGCCGAGC